TCCAACAATCAAGGAAAAGAAGAAATTTTTTGCCAACCAAAGGACGTAGAACTTCATTTAAAAACGTGCGATGCTTTTCATCGCTACTTTTTTTCAGATTTTGAAGCTCGTACTACGATATTTGGTGGTACGATGAAATCTTTTTCTATTCTTTTACCGAATTCATTTTCTTTTTCTTGGAGAATGACTAAGAATTTCTCCTGATTGACCATCAGTTGATGTAATAGATTGCACTGTATAAGAGTGGGTTATATTCTTCTTCTTTTTAACAGCAACTTCTGTTGTTCTTTCACCAGTAAAAGAAAGAGTTCTTGGAGAAACATATTCTTGTTGAAATGAACAATGATCACTGTTCAAAATTTGATGCGAAGAATAATTCAAAATTAACGGTCTTTGACTTTCAATCCAATTGTGAGCATCTAAAATATTCTGGTATCACAAATTAAGCAAATAGACCAGAATCTCAAGCAAAACTTGACGTACCTTTCAAACTACACATGTTTCTGCTGGAAGAAACTCCTGTAATCAATTTGTTGTACCTTCTTGATGAAATTCGATTTTCTCTCTTGAACACCTTGATAAATGTTTCACCTGCTTTGAAATTTTTCCAATGTAGTTTCCTTGCTTGAATCGCAAAAATTTCTAGGTCACTATCATGAATTGCTTCTTTTTCAATTGCTCTTTTAACATAAAATACGTTCCACATAAATTCTTTGATATTTTTGATTTTTTCTAATCTTGTACCGTTCTTGCTAATATATTCTCTAAATCTTGGAATATAATTCATAGATTTGACTTTCCTAAACCTATTCATAATAGTTGCAAATTTACAATTTCGATGTTGGTCAACCCATTCCACTATTTTCCCATCTCTTCTAACGTAAAATGATTGTAAATGTTCGAGTATTGATTTTCATCATAATCATTAGTATTCTCTTCATCAACAGTGATGTCCTCTTTATCCGTCGTTTCATTATATTCATCGTCAAAATCGAGACTTTGATAAGTATACAGTTTATTAAAATAACTATCTTTAAATGATTTTAAAATTTTGAATAATTGTTGTGATGCAAGTTTCATCATCACTTGGGGTTGAAGATTCAAAGCCAAAGTTCGATCGTGTTAAATAGAGAAGATGTTTCGCAATGTGTACTAGATTCATATCTTGATTCGACGAGATCAATCTTTCTTAGTGTTAGTCGTGGTGGAAAATAAGCGAAAACGTTACTTTGAATACACAGTTGATTGAGACTTAAGAATACCAATCATAAAGGGATATACGATAAATTATGAAGTAATGCGTTAATGCACTTAATTTTTTGATATCTTACGTATGGACACTTTTCAATACACTACTGGTTCTTTGCCAATTCCGTGCTATTAAACTTCAGAAGAAGTCGTATTCAGAGAAGTCTAAATATTATTAATAAGTTTCACCAAGATTTTGAAAGCTCACTGCCTGAAAAATCTGATGATTATACTAAAAAGTTAATGTGAATCGTTCATATATTATCATGTTTCTATACCCCAAATAATGCATAACTTAAAAATTGAATATCTCTGTTCAGGCACGCCAACAGTAGCTCATATTTTAAACTCGTTAGTTTCTCAATGAGAGTGTTCATTTGATCCGAACATGGTAAATCAATGTAACTTACAATACAAGCCCCTCCATTGTTAGACAGATATTTATGCTGAATAAAATCATTACTTTCTTCTCTGCTTCTAGGAAGGTTTTTCTTGTGTATCAAGGTGAATTAGTTCGATTTCAAAATTCGTTTATCGTACAAAACGATGATTCTGAAAATATTTTCAAGCTGAATTGCATATCTCTTCTGTGTTTCGAAGTCCCACACGTTCTTAACGGAGAGTCGGTGATGCCCTTTCGAATCAAAAGTCGGAGCACCCTTATCGAATCCAATCTTTCAAGGATCGAAAAATAACACAACTCTATAATTTTCTGGTAAGATTCATTCAAAATTGATAGCATCCTTGTTTCAAATCCATCGTAACCATATTGATCAGTTTGTATCAAGCAGAGAATCATCTTGCCGTGTCCGATCATTGTTCAAAAAATATTTCGAGAATCGTTTTATTTTTCGAAAGCAATTGAGAACAATTGTTTCTTCCAAATAGTTGCATCAGATATTTTTACATTGCAGCCAGATGAATAAAATCTATTCTAAACCATTGAATATCCTTCGATTTACATCAAACAAAACGATTTGGAAATTACAAAAAAAATACGGATGAACATTGTTCTCGAATATGTAATATTGTCAACTTTTCTTCGTTTGAGTTTGTTACTATATGTCTAAAATTATGATTGCCATGAGCGACGAATGAGTCTCAAGTCTTTATAATGTTCGGATCTATCAGAAATGAGAATTTGCGTTTACATCAATACTACAACAGTCCTAACTATGCTTTCGGATAAATATCTATATCACCAAAACTTTGATTGAAAAAGTTAAAAATAAAACGCACAAAAAAAAGAACAGTCGGTCAAAATCGAAATATACACAATTGACAATTTCATGAAACGATTCGTTCCGCAAATTATGACATTCCCCTGCAGGTATTCTTGTATGTTTCTTCAAATATAAATATTTGCAACATCAACTAAATAGTATCTGGATTTTGTTGCTTACATTGTAAGGATACGTTTCGATAAGAAACTAATTGTTATTGAATCGAACAAACTTCAATGAAACGGACAAATGTTCGACTACAGATTTTGTCGAACGACGAAATTTGATACTTGAAGATTTGTTTATAGAAATGACTATTCAAATTCATCTAAAATAGAGGAAAGGTTTTTTAATCGATACTACTTCAAACTGAATATTGTAATTAGAAAATGTCAGAATCTGTGTAAGTCATTTAACTCGACCAGTTTTTCCATGTTCTTTGATGTAATTCGTTAAGTGGCTTTATGTCGTCTCGATTGTTCTTGACAACAAAACAAAACTTGTTCACCGGAGAACGTTTGAATAGTGAATGCTTAAAAAATGTTGACGATTTGATCAAACAAAATACAGAGTACGAAAGAAGAAGGACTTAGTAGATATAATCTCGATGTTTGTCTTACTAGAGTAATCAGACACATGCGGGTTTGCACAATGAAACATAATCTCTGATCACATCTCGATACTAGTATGACGAATTTAATTTAATCAGAAACTGAACTTGAAATCGATTCCTTTTCAGTTTCTGGACTTTGCGTATACACTCAATAGTTCTCCTACTTTGCAAAACTATTATTGTACTGTTGCTAAATATGAACACTTTCAACATGAAACAATATCACATTCATTTTTAGTGCGATTTGATCGAAAATATCGGCAGAATCACAGACACGTTTTGTTTCAAACTTCGGTTATGATGTATCATAAGAAAGAAAAGGAACAACATTCTTAATGAATCAAATCTGTCTCGTTTGAGAAACGAAAACTATCTCATACTTTTGAGTTGACGTTTCAATTGAAAATCATTGTTTCTCTATTTGAGTTGTATCACTTATTTTATAGAAAACTCATCTAAATGGAATCCGTTGTAATTTAATGGCGATACTTCGATTTTCATATAATACATTGAATCGGAGTTTTCAAAATTTCTCCATTTCATTTAAAATTCCTGTTTTCAATTTTGTCAATCAGTGAGTATTTTTCCTTCAAATTCTTTTGCTTGTTGTTTGTATCTAAAATGATTAAATGATGTTCTCAATTTGGACTTGGAAAACTTCATTCGAGTTTTGATCGACATGGAAAAGCATTGTTTTGACAAAATTTGAAAGCAATCTGTTTTCATAATGTGTATTGAACTATGAATGAATGTTTCCATAGAAAGACAAACAGTTTTTTTAATAAGACGATTCACTAGATCTATATATGATGCAGTGATTACGTCAAAATTGTTCATCAAAGATTCTTTTCAATTTACATTTATTACACAATTGATTGTGAGAAGTAGTATTCACAATTGTAAGTTTGCGAAAAGAAACAACAGTTCACTTTCATTTTTCTAATCCTTTGTTCTGAATTGTAAACATTCAATGGTTGTTATTGAATTGAATCATATTTGAAAAGTGAAAACAATCGTAGTAAAATAAATGAAAGAATATCCACGTGATTGATGAACGTCGACTTTACTACGAATCGAATCATTCATTGAACATTGCTTTTCTTCTAAATGTGATGATTTCAATAGATGAGGATAAGATTACTGATGTCCAACACTTTTACATATTGAAAATGATTTCAATGAAATGAAAATTGTCATCGTCAGATATTTGTCAAACTAGCACACTCGCATAAACGTCCTAGAAGAACAGCATGTCAATCTATCTTTTGAACAATAGAATGATTTTATTTTCCAAGAACATTTTAATTCTCAGTGAAGAATTGAGACAGATAAATTTTTGCAACGATCGAGATTTGACTATTGTCGAAATAAATATTAAATAAACGAGTTTTCAACAGAAATACAACTCTTATTTGTTGAACATTCATTAATCATTTATTTGAACCAGCCGATTATTTTTACTCACGTTCAAAATCGATCATAACTCGCTCATTCTTTACTTCGTCGACTCTTCCGTTCTAGGAGAAAAGAGAAGAGACACTACCACCAATATCGGAACAGTGTCTTTTGAGAAGGAATACTGGATATTCTAAGAGCAAAAAAAAACGAAGGAACGATCTAGTTTAGAAATGATTGATTATTGATAATTGATCAAAAAGTATTCAAATGAATAACTTTGAATTAAACAAAATATTTGAAAATAAACAATGTTTGTTTTCAACGTTGAGAAAAAAAATTTATTTTCCTAATCGAGTACACAGTTCTAAATTTGAAAATCAGATTCTTATCAAGCAAAAATGTAAAAAAACTCTTTTTTTTTGTAATTGAGAGCAGTTTTTCAAATGATTCTACACTGTCGAGAAAATGAATGACCACTCTGCTGCGTACTGTCCAAAACAAATGAGTGACTCATATCAATGAAATCAATATTTATTCCTACTCTACTTTTTTGTTTCATTTCAGCACCACTGCTTTCGAGTTCGACTGACATTCATTCGAACGCAAAATGGATACAGAATGGTCTTACTGTGGCTGGCGGAAATGGGCAAGGCAGTGGAATCAATCAACTTCATAACCCATGGGGTTTATATGTCGATGATGATGAAACCATTTATGTCGCTGATTGTGCGAATAATCGCATTGTGGAATGGAAATGTGGTGCGACCAGTGGCCAAGTGGTTGCCGGTGGAAATGGAAATGGAAATGGGGCTCATCAGTTATATCACCTAAGAGATATGATTGTCGACAAAGAGAGAAATTGTCTCATCATCAGCGATGAAAGTAATAAAAGAGTAGTTCGATGGCCTCGTCGAAATGGTACTAGTGGAGAAACTATCGTTTCAAATATCTCTTGCTACAGTTTGACAATGGATGAGAATGGATCTCTCTATGTCGCTGACTACGTAAAACATGAAGTGAGACGATATAAAATTGGTGATACTGAAGGAACAGTAGTTGCAGGTGGCAATGGAAGTGGAAATCGTCTTGATCAACTTTCTAATCCCCACTATGTATTTGTCGATCGAGATCATTCAGTGTACGTGTCCGATTGTTCCAATCATCGTGTGATGAAATGGGAAGAAGATGCAAAACAAGGCATTGTCGTAGCCGGTGGTCAAGGATCTGGCACGGATCTTACACAATTGTCAAGTCCTCGAGGAATTGTTGTCGATCAATTAGGCAATGTTTATGTGGCTGATCAAGGGAATAATCGAATCGTGCGTTGGCTCAAAGGAGCCACACAGGGAAGCATCATTGTTGGTGGAAACGGTGCTGGAGGACAATCGAATCAACTCTCTACTCCCATAGGTTTATCATTCGATCGACACGGTAATCTCTATGTCGTCGACCAGAGTAATCAACGAGTACAAAAATTTAATATCGATTCAAATTCATAGTTTGTCTTTGTTCTTATTGACAATTGAACTCTTTTCGCCTGAAGACATAAAACATGTGTATGCATGTGTTTATTCTCCCTAATTTTCTTTATTGTCGAGAAGTATTTGATTTTAATTTAGTAATGTATTCAAAGAAGAAGATTGAATAAGAATAAATGAAAAATAACACCAATAAACAGAATGTATTCTAACAAAACAAAAAATGGATTAATTATTAACTCATGAATTAGTCAAACTGATAAAAATAAAGAAATAATTGAATAATAGAGATGTGGCTCAATTCCATGAATTCAGAATGCTTGAAAAAAATCCTTGAAATCCCCAGAATGCTTAAAATTCTTGGAATTTATCAAAATCATCTTATTCTTGTGATCCGTAAAATCCGTTGGCTTTTCAAAATTCTGGAAACTCATGTAGCATATGGTGAGCTAGCCATCATTTTAACACATGTTTGCAATGGTGAACTATTCGTGTCATGCTACAATGTTATTTCTTATTTTCTATTGAAATAACAAATTATATCTTTACAAGCATCAGATCATTTGAAAATGAAAGAATGGAAATTATATTAGAGAATATGAATAGATGGATATTTAGCAGAGAACAGATAAATATTTATGTATGCACATATTTCAAAATATACATGCAGTTATTCTCAAATATTGATTGCTGAAAGTAAAGCTTTAAAGAAGAAAAAAGAGTGTCTAGAAATAAAAATAAATCATGCAACGAAAACTTTAAATGACATGATAATAGTTCAATTTACAGCCTTCTTCAAAACGGTGTGGGTGGGTATGAATGTTGGTCTGGATGTGAGTCTTCTGTTCTGTGACACCCACACTCACACCCACACCCAAGATCTGAACAGTATCGAACGGCATATTGTTTGCATAAACGTTTAGATGGATATAATGATGATTCTTGAAGAGCATACTGGGAAATGATCTTTTGCAGTTCTCTGTCAGACAGTAGCCAGGTAGGAACTTGTTTCAAGATAGGTTCTACCCAAAACAGATGTTTTTCAGCGGCGAGAATCTCACAGTAGGAGGAAACAATTTATACTTTCGATATTCTAACCGTGCGACAACAGAATTCTTTGCTGATTTGATATCTTCGAAATATTTATAATTTAGGAGTGTATATGAAAGGATGTTCAATTTAGTTTCATTCTTCCTTAGTGAGAGAAACTACTGATGTAAGATAGGAGGCCAAGTGAATGATAAGCTAGTAGATGGTACTAGTACTCAGCAAAGAGTCATTCTCCGTTAAAGCTTGTAGAAATTCGTCAATCAATGTCAACTTTTATAGAACGAGACTGCTTTGTAACATGTATTACTTCAATTAGGGATTGTTCGAGATGAATAAAATCGATCGATAGTTCTGCTAGATACATACTGACTAAAAAGGTTTTTTGAAGCAAAGACAATCGATATTTGATAAGATCAAACGAAACGAGTTACGTAGTATGCAATCCAAATATTCGACTAAAGCCATCGTTGTAAATTCATGATGTTCAAATTCGAATAAAGTGACAGACACGGCGACGACACAAGGTGAAATCAATGAAAACCTGGTAAATGACTTGCTGGTGAATATCAGACTCAATACTTGAGGGTGCGTGTGTGAGTGTGAATGAATATCCTTATTAATACCTTCACTCACAGCCGCACTCATCTAAAGAAAATAATGCCACATTAAAGTGCAAGAAATATGGGACAAAAAATAAAATAATGATGACACTCAATAATAACCGAACAAGTAATTTATCACAATGATTTTTATCGCATTAACTGATTAATAAAAGAAGAACATTTTGTACTACTGTTAATGTCTATTTAATAATTATAGTTTTTAAATCATACTTTCTCTACTAAAAAGTTTTTTATATAATGAAGAATCATGTTCAGTCTACATTAGTTTTTTTTATTTTTCAATCGTCTAGAATTTATGATTGTTAAGCTTTACATGATCAGTGAAAATTCATATACCTAATTCATATGATATAAAGACATCCATTCGATGAATCAAAGATTGAGGAAAACTATTTAACGTATTAGTAATGCATCAAGAGAAGTGTACAAGGTATCGTCAGCAAGGTTACATAAAAATAATTTCTTCCTGTTAATCCTAAATAGAGATAAAAGTTTGCAATTACTTAGTCAACGAATGTAAACAAACAAGATGGCACGGACTTTGCCTAATACTGAATTATTTGTTCACATTCAAATACTATTCAAAATCATTGAAGTTGAAAGAAATACCTGCAATTATTCTTTGACATCCCTGAACAAAAATCTGTCCCCTCCTCGTTCTTTTCATAGAGAACCATTTTGGTCTCACGTAGGTATTAGTTGCAAGAATGACTAAACTACTTTATTGTAGTGTCGTAGTGTATGATTGATGACAACTGGCTTCAATGAAGAATATACGCCTTGCAACACAATTGAGCAATACTACAAATGAGCTACCTGATAGAATGTTTCACGACTAGGTTATCTCTTTTTTTTGTATCTGCTAACTGTTTTACTGGTTTAGATCATTAAACTCTCTTCGCCGTCGACTCGAAGCTTCTCTGAGAATGCGGCATAGTCGATTATACAAATACAGATAAACTAAAACTAGTAAAACATTCAGATAATATAAAAAAAGAGATAAATCAGCCATGTAGTATTCTTTCAACCAACTCATTTGTAGTGTTGGCCGATTGTATTGAATGGCATACATTCTTCATTGAAGGAGGTCGTAATCAATCATACACTACACTAAAATATAGTATTAAAATCATTCTTGTAATCAACATTCACTTAAGGCCAAAGGAATTCTATATGAAAAGAACGAGACGGGAAGGGAGGGGAAGACTTTTGTCCAGGGTTGTATTTTCCTATCTTCAGTTTCATTTAAGACAAACGAATGTTATTTATTGTCATGTCATTGATTATTTATAAACTTATCGCATCTATATATCATCATGTCGTAAATATTTATTAAAGATTCGATACGAAGAAGTTTCACAACATAATATATGATGGTAAAAGAATGCTTATCAAAACGACTTCATTTACGAACTGTTCTTATAAAAGACTTTATATCTTTGACTTTTTTTTTAGATCTCGCTTTATAGCATTTTCGTTACAACATGTATACCGTTTTATATATTTTTGAATTACAAGAGATCTCAACACAAATCAACCTTATCTTTATTAAGTATGATAAATCATAATCAACAACGTATTTCAATCAAACGAAACTAATTTATTCTTGTTGCTAAACAAGAAAAACTGTTAGATAAATTGGATTCATTTGACAATACTATATATGTTTCGATAAGATTTGTTCGTTTTCTAAACATTGAAAATGAATTAAATAATAGAGTTTCTTATCTTTATCAGAATTAATTAGTACAGCGTTATTTATTTCCTGATAGACTATGATTATAGCAAAGATAAGAGGTGTATTTTTTATTTCTTTTAAGTGTATTAGAAGAACCATTTACCTAAGAATCAATGATAAATGGATTAGCAATAATTTGATATATAAAATTTTTTTTCATTGAAAAATATAAAATAACAATAAGTTTAATAATGATGAATATGTATTTTCATTTAGATTATTATTAAAATCAAATGAATTTATTATTCATAATAGGTATTTTATTTTCTTTATTCTTTTCAAATATAATTCTATTACCATTACCATTCAATCAATATGCTTATATGCTTGCACGAGAACAAATTAAACAACATGATAGAGCTGTACAAGCTCAAAATAATTTAAATTCAAAAGAGAAAATTGTTAATTTATATTTAGAATTATTACAAGTTAAAGAATATGTTAATACTAAAACATATTTTTATCCATCACGTCCAATTGAAACAGCAATTGAAAATATAACAAAAAGTTCATTTTATCAATTTTTACAATTATTACCTAAAGGAGGAAATTTACATATACATGAATTTCAAATTCTTGATCGAAAATTATTTCTTGAATCTATAAAAAATTCTCCTGAATATGATTTATTATATATTTGTGATCAAAATGATTGTATAAAAAATAAATATTATTTAAGTTATTATAAAAACAATGTTCCTAATGGTTGGACAAAAGTAAAAGATTCTAATTGGACTATTTCAGATATTATTAAGAAAACAACTTTAATTGGAATTTTAAATGATCTTAAAACACCAATATATTCTACTGATACAGAAGCTCGATGGAATTTGGCTGATCAATATGGAGTTTTCAATTTTTATGGAGATTTAATAAGACATAATGTTACAAGATTTAATTATATGAAATTAGTTTTAGATCATGCACTTGAAGAAAATATTCAATTATTAGAATTTCGACGAGGATTTTTTGGAAATTTATTTTATTTTGATGAAAATGGTTTAAGAATATCAATAAATGCAACTGAAGAATTAGATTTATTATTGAAATTTAAAAAAGATTATATATCAAAAAATCCTAAATTTATTGATTTTATATTTTTAATTTATAGTTCAAGACAATCATCAAAAGAACAAATAAAAATTCATATTAATAATTTAATTAATCTTCAACATTTATATCCAGATTTTATTCGTGGATATGATATGGTTGGTGAAGAAGATAAAGGTCATACAATTTTATTTCATAGTGATAGTCTTATAAATGCATTTAATTATTCAAAAACAACTAATGGATCATTTGATTTAGTTTTTCATGCTGGTGAAACAAATTGGCCTGAAAATCATCTTCCATCAAATTATGGTGATGGTGTATCAACATTTGAAAATATTTATGATGCACTTGTACTTCGAACACGTCGTATTGGTCATGGACTTAGTTTAGCTAAACGTCCAGATATGTATGAATATATTCGTCAACGTCAAATAGCAATTGAAGTTTGTCCAGCAAGTAATCAACTATTAGGTAATGTGAATTAATCAATATTTATTTATTGATGTTTTACTTTCTTTTTTCTGATCAAAGGTTATGTTGCTGATCTTCGTAATCATCCAGGAATTGTTTATCATCGAAGTGGAATTCCAATTGTATTAGGTGGTGATGATCCAGGAAGTTTTGGTTATAATCAATTAACAATAGATTTTTATTTGGCAACAATGGCATGGGGTTTAAATCTTGCTGATTTAAAACAATTTGCATGGAATTCTATTCAATATAGTTCACTTCCAGATAATAGAAAAAAAGAAGGATTTCAAAAATGGGAAAATCAATGGAATTTATTTATTGATTCTTCATATATATTAGCATGTAATCAAACATTTTCTAATGTAATTATGAATATATCTGATATATTACCTACCTATGGTCCATATAATCAATCTATTAATATAACACTTTTTGGATCAGGATTTGAAATAGCAATATGTAAAAATATAATTTGTAAATTTGGTGAAAAAGAAACGAATGGAATATTTATTGATTTAAATGAAATTATTTGTCCAACACCTTTGACAAATAATGATATTTCGATTGTACCGATTTCCATTGTAATTAATAATGAAATATTTGAATCAGGGCTTAACTATAAATTTGTTTCTTCGTTAATAATTATTGATGATGAAACTTTAACTACAACTACTCCATCGAAAAGTGATAAATTTGTGATAGTTAATCAAAAATTGATCGCTGGTTTATTAATATTACTTTTGACATTTATACTGTAGATCTTAATAAACAGAATGGAAACTAATTACAGTGAAAAAAAAAAACATTTTAAAGTATAATGTATTTCAATTAAAATGCGTGTTATTGCTCTTTTAAATATAAAATCATCTTGAGATACGAGACTTTTTTGAATAATTTCAAGTTATTAGATAGTTGGTGAATTTGTTATTTGATAAGATCTTCTTGTTTTCTAGTAACATCAGCCTTCATTAGGTAATCTAACGAATGGTTCATAAAGAGTGAAACTCTGAGTATTTTACATATTTTTCAGCAGTCTGTCAACATAACGGGATAATTTCTTTTTAATAGATTCCTCTTACGATTCTGTACGAATTTGCACCTTTCACTTAAACGGAACTGGATACCTTATTTATTTAGACACAATGAAACGAATAGATTCAGAATATGTTACTTTGAAAATTCTTTTTGTCTTTTTATCAAGCTTTGTTAGTGATTTTGTCAGCCTTCCTCTTCATCATACAATACTTCAATCAATTATCAGTTCTAAACTAACTCTAATGAAGTCTTTAGAAGGATCGAAGACTTCAGTATTTGGTCAGATGATCATTATCGTTAATCAATAAGATATAAGTTGACACTATTTCTTTAAAA